TTGGGACAGTTCCAGGTGAACATGTGTCGGAAACTCGTCAATACCATGCCAAAACGGCTTAGAGAAGTCATCCAGCGAAGAGGTGGACACACGCATTATTGACAATCGCTGCGTTCTATTTCTTCATGAATATTCATGAGCTTGCCTTTACACGTATTCTCCATAGAGAATTCAAACGTTTTTTCACTGTTTCGTTCAGACTGCCGTTTTTTATTCAATCTTGCATGACAATGACAATTTTGTTGTTTTTATTGTGTGTAAAAACGCATATTTTATTAGATATATAAATATATTTATTCAAACCGTTATTGAGTTTATTTTATTGAATGATATCGTAGGTAGTAACTGCGTGTAGTGTGATGCGTAAATACTTTCTGGCGGGACTGTATATGTGAAGATGAGTATCGGTAAACAGTAGTGTCACTATAAAACACTAATGCCTTTTTACGTACAAGTCATGAAGTGTCTTGAAATTATACCCATTGCAGGGGGAAAGCGTTGTGTCTTAGTTTATCTCTAATTTAACGCACGAATCACATAGCATAAAATAAATGTTGCAATTACGTTGTTATGCCCCACCCACTTCTACACAACCAAGTACCTCCAAAAGGTTGAAATAAACGTGCCATGGCGATTTAAACAAATGTATTAATGCATGGGTGATTCCCTAGTACTTCTTATGAGGTTCTATATATTCACCAATGCGTAGTAATTCAAATGACAACTGTCACACAGTTAACACTAAATAACAACGTTGTAATACTTGTATTTAGCTTTCAAACAGTGGCCTTGTCACATGCATTTTCCTGACTGACTTGTCTTTTGACGATAATCCCCCGACATACAGATGTACACTCCTGTCTTGACACCTCAACACAACTAAACCGATGTTATTTAAAGTAGCAGTTATTCACAATTAACGAACTTACTTGAATCAGAGTTCCCTTGCCTGCTATAAAAAATAATAAATATCAGACACCATTGTCCTTTGGAAGTTGTTTTTCTAAATTTCCCGCGAGGTGAGCTCAGGTTGCGTGGCATGCGAGACGAGATTTGGCATGTCCTTCGGATCCGTTATTTGAACACTAATCAACCGCGAGCGGCGCTGTAACTCCAGCAGACATGGCGAACGCTGACGACTTCTCCTTGCCTCAACATCAACAAATTCCCACCTCTACAGCGTCATCTCAGTGGCAACACTCGAACGTACATCATACTATGGACGATCGGCATTCCACGGGACTCACAGGTGGTAGTGTTGTTCATCTACAGTCAGCACCAGAGGAATTTACTTTTATGCCCACCATACCAAGTGAAAACGGTGAGTCAACACTGAAGTTGACAAAATATTGTTTGCCACGTCGACCAGTGTCTAACATTATAGTTTTAATTCGTAAATTAAATAAATGATTATAAGCTTAATAAGTGTGATTTAATAATTTCAAGGAAATTTTGAGATTCGCATTGTTTTTAATTAATATGCATGCAAATTTGATAAATTTTTAATATGTATTTAATCGTCAGACTCGAAGTACATTTTTTAGATGTAATTTTAGATTGTTTCAAAGTACTTTGCCATTACCAAAACAAGTTTGGGATGAATATTGTAAAGTCAGAAGGATGGTAGGGAGCAAGTACAATTTATTCCCTTCAATTGACTACTTTGAAAATATAACATACACTAAGCAGCTCAGGCCAACAGATCTAAACCAAAATGATGAAAGCTTCCATGCCTGTCAACAACTGTCATGCTTTGTTTACATCCAAACCATGTGGTTTTATGTGTATTCTGGTTGCCATGGTGTCTGATAATAATCTGATTGGCAAGTGTTGATGCCAGCTGTTGCATCAATTCATGTTACATTTGTTTGATATGTACCCGAGGGTCGGTGGTACATCACATGTTTCCCCTCAACCTGGAACAAATAAAATATTGCTCTTTATTTTGGTTGGGATTGAAGTGTCAAATAAAGCACTTCTCTGATTTCAATATCAATGTTGTAAAATAATATTATTTTTCACTGATTTTACTTCCATGACATAACTACGTGCAGATAATAAGTATATTTTGAGTACGACCACCTGTGACCACCAAATTTGCATAATCTCATGCAAATGATGGTATTCATTCAATTTTTCATTTCAGTATGCGAAGGCATTATTTGCTGACTACCAATTATCTCAGTTAGTATTTATATACTAGTAGTCTTTATCGAAAATTTTGAAAGATTCTAGTTCAGAACTCATCATATTTGTCTCTACAGACCCACCCGATTTAAGTGGATCATTAGATGTGCCAGCAGAAGCACGGCTAGAATTTGATGGTCAAGGTTACTCAGCTAAATATTCAGAAAGAGCATCATCATTTCACGGAGGAATGACTTCGCAGTATCTGGATCGTAAAGGATTTGGTTGGCTGATGGAAGTAGAAGACGAGGACTTAGATGATGAAGTACCAATACTGTAAGTATTAATTATGCATGCCACATGGAAATCACAGTTGTAGTAAATATTACCAAATGGCTGGTCTGTCACAATTTTACAACCGAATTGTCCCAATCAAACAGTACTAGTATGATGGGGCAACAGCATCACAGCAGTTATAAAAATAATAGAGAAAATAAAATTACTTGAAACAAAAGTCCTAAATAGCTATTCCAGTTTGATAAACTTATGTCAATAGTTGCTACTTCATATGGTTTTCACTATATACCATTGTTATGGAACATTAAAGTGAATGTGTGGCTCCTGGCTCTTGCTTTTTTGTGTAATAGCTTGAAGTGCCTGTGAAATAATTGCTACTTTTGAAGCATGAAACATTTTTTTAAGTAAACTCTGTCTACAGCAACTTTATTTTTGTGTATTTTGTGTCACGTCATTGCTATCTCTTACATAACACAAACTACATGGCCTCTACAAAACGTTACTTAGATTCCAAAATCATTTGAAACACTTACCCAACGTTCTCTCTCTTCTGAAAGCCGACGTGGTGAACTTGGGCTGGTCTGAAATCTGTTTTTTTTAAAAATGTTAGTACTGTGCTAGGTTTCATTTATCTGCACTTGTCTTTAAATCCATGCTGTTCTTTTATATATTTTATAGCTAGAATCTGCTGTACGATGGTATAGAAAGAATGTCCATCCCAACTTGTTCTCATTGTTTTTACATTGTTTGTCCACTGATGTCACACCTTCTGATTGCTTGGAAATGCATAAATTAATTAAATCGTTAATAGTATTATAAAAGTATAGCACAAGAGTATGGCTTCCTCTCATATTTTGGCATTTGGTGGAGCACTTTTACTTTGGCGAGAGTCTGACTGTTTCAGTATAGGTGGGCGTGGCTACAACACGAGAAATACCTCAAATTTACTTGGATATGAGTAATCATTTTCAACAATAAAAGTCAATAACTGTCTATTTCAGTGGAACATAAATCCAAAAAAGAAATGTGTTGCTGGGCATTTTACAGGCACTTTAACTACAAATTGTGTAGTTGTGAGAATGATGTCATATTTTTGTTGTATTTCATATCAAAAGTATCAGTTAGCAAGTACCATTATGTTCTAGTTTTTGCATTAATGTTTATATGGGTACTTAGAATCAGAAAGAGAATACAATGTAGATATTTAAGACAGATATGATAGATTTAGCTTCAGATTTCATGGAAGTATGTCTTGTTTGTTTGTAATCTATCTGACTTTGGAAAGATTAATTGATTTTGAAAATCTGTTTTTCTTGCAGTGAAGAACTTGACATTGACTGCAGTGATATCTACTACAAATTGAGATGTGCTCTATTCCCATGTCCACAGCTTGGTTTCAAGCGTAAAACGCTGCGAGAGAATCCTGATTTTTGGGGGCCACTTCTGGTTGTCATTTTGTTTTCATTAGTATCAGTATATGGACAGTTTAGAGTGAGTAAAATGACTAAGCAGTGAATCTATGCAAACTACACTACAGTCGTGTCAGATTATAATATGGGATGAAAGGGTAACTTTTTATTTGGAATGATCTTTCATCAAATATTCTTTACAAGATTAATTAATATTTTAATACCAAACAGAAAATACATATGAGCTAATCAAATGGTCTGACTGCAGGCTACCGTGTTGATGGTTAGCACTATTGATTACAAAATTATTAAAGTAAATATTCATATGTCCAGGAAAATTTAATCACCAAAAATGTAATTATACAGAATTGTATTGTACCATTACTCGATTATCCTTTTATGAAGCCCATCAGTAGTCAAACTCAAATGCTAGAAATAACTGATTGTTCAATTTGCAGATAGTAAGACCAGGGATTGAAATAGAATTTTTCACCTGCATGCACAGTGTGCACGTTGAATTTTAAATTTACCTGCACTAACTTGTTATGAAATGCACCAATTTTAAAGTATTAACAAAATTTACGGGTTCTCAATCTATGTGATCATGAAAGAATTTGCTTTTTTGAGTTATCTTACAATATTGGTTGAACTTAATTTAGGCTTAGTGAATATAATGAGAAAATGTGTTAATTTCTACATGCACAGCGTGCACATTATATTTTGAGTTTACTTGCACTAGCTAATAATCTATGTGTATAGTGCAGTGTGCACAAGGGTATTTCAACCCCTGAAGACTAATATGGAGTGGGAATGAAAAAAGTTGATCCATTCATATTTTACTCCAGTTATAGATAAAATATATTCACTCATATTGTATTTTATTTGTTATTAATAACTACCTAGGTGGTGTCTTGGATCATCACGATTTGGATATTTGGTTCTTTAGTGATATTTATGTTAGCAAGAGTACTTGGAGGTGAAGTAAGTACACTTTCGATGTACATTTACTGTTTTAAATAAAATGTTGGCATGAATCCAAACAAATTTTAAATGACGCTTCCACTGACAAGAAATGAGTTTTTTACCTTGTCTGTATCATCGTAAATGAAAGTATATGAATGGAAAAAGTCTGTTCTCATCATTATTGACCTTGTTGTAAAACTTTTTTACAATAACTCAAACAGTTTGAACACTGTGAACGCAATCTATCCAATATGCAAAACATATGAGACTACCGTAGCTTAAATCTTAGCCTGTACATGTACTTCATGTAATGTGAACACTAGTTTTAACTTTACAATTTCTTTCTGAACATCTTTATGATCTTGCATATACAATGTATAATGCAATATACAGGTACGGTAATAGGTTATTTGACAGTCTTTTTGGCCACTGTGTGTTGGAATTTACATTTAATATAATACTTTTAATTATTTTTGTATTTGTGTATTTTGTAGGTGACTTATTCACAGTGTCTAGGCGTTATTGGTTACTCATTGCTTCCCCTCCTTGTCACAGCAACAGTCATGCCATTGGTGCATTCGTTTTATTACCTAGCTTTTCTTATCAAGGTAACAGAATATAGTAACTTGTATCAGCATATATTCCAAATATTTGAACAAAATATGACATTTACATTTGTTTCCCTGCTGCCTTTGCATTAAGATCTACACAGCTGGTCTAACTGTAAATGGCACTAGACGTGGGGGCGTGATGGATTAATTAGAACCTGCATCCAAGATACTTTTGTCGTTGCTGCGTGCGGGGTTCGGAGTTTTTGCCGTGAAGGTGTGTATTTTTCACTGGAGTTTCTGAGGCCTGAGATTTTTCTTTGACTGACCGCGTCGCTCGTTTCTTCACAGCAAGGTCGTGCGTCCAGTAAACAAATCGGTTAAAGTGAGTTGAGTGTTTGGCATGAGTGGAAAGTCCTCACACTCGGCTACCGGTACTTCATGTACCGGGACGTAGGAGGCTCGATAGTGGAGGTACCGATATTTTTCTCGGCCTCCCCCCGCTGATTGGAGGGAATCCTCACAGTCTGTTTTTCAGGCGGTGGTTTACCTGATTTTACCGGCTGCAGCGGGGCTGTGCCCCTGGAGGCTTTCCTCCTATGAAGCCCGTTGCGAGTCCCTTTGTGGACCCTTCCTCGCACGCCGCCGAGTTGAGGGCCTTGGTCGAAGGACTGTCGGGCAATTGCGTCCCTGGCAGGCCGGGTAGATCAGACGCAGTCGGAGCGAGCTGTCTCCACTGCAGCCCCTCGGTGGGCAAGCAGGAAGAAACACAAAAGCATATTTGCATTCAAACACGTCTCTTCCGGGGAACCCCTGTTCCCAGCCACGGCTCTCCCACTAATTTTGGATGAGGCCGAGGCTCAGGCTAATTGCACCAGGCCTCCTCTGGAGCCTTGGGCACTGAATGCCAACGGGGTGCTGGCAGCCAAGCCCCCGATCTCGGGGCAGGGCGTTGAACCCCCCTACTTTCAGCCAGCTAGGGTTCATCACGCGATAACGGTACAATGGTAACGAATTTATGCTTGTCTCCACTGTGGGTTTTGACTCCCTTCTTACGACCCACTGGTGTCCCCAGAGGGAACCGACCCTGTCATGAGATGCACATACGAACACGCTCCCTCTCACATATTTAAAGTGAAAGGAGATGCAGTTCGCTTGTGTCAGATACAGCCGGTACTCCGGGTGGTCCCTCAGAGTCTTCCATCCGTAATGACTCAGTGAGCCATGCTTTTGAGGTGCGGAGGACGTAACGCTGAGTGACGCAGACTGGACATCTTTCACCCTCTTTGTTCAGGGAATGCTGGGTACAGTCTCGGAGCTTCGGAGTACAATGAACCAAAAGGTTCAGATTGAATCCGCTAGCCAGTTGGCCCTGCCAAGGGCAAGCGGAGAGCACCCCAAGCACAGAAAACACAACGCCCTAGGGCGTCGTCCGCTAGACAGAGTCAGCCAGGAGGCAAGCGCTCATACCCTTCCATGGGAGGGAAGAGTAGTGGTGCGCCCCCAGGGAGGAAAGAGCCTGGTGGTAGCTCCTCACGTGTTTGACGCTCACCTCTGCAACCAGGGGGGGACAGGCATGTGTTCGGCGAGTGGCCAGGTCACAACTTAGTGACTACTTCAGGCCTTGGGGAACTCACCTCATGGGAAAAGAGAGCACCCCCCCCCCCCTCGCAAGTGCCGAACCCATTGCCACATATCTCTGTCATACACAGATTGTGCTGGTGTAGTCCAGTTTGGAGACAGCGGGTGACCAATATCCGGACCTTCCCAGGTGGTGACATCCAGTTACGCGATACCGCTAAAATCTCCATCTCCCCCGTCAGTATCTCTCCTGTTGGGCACTGCCAGGGGACTCCCACAAGGCGGAAGCAATCAGACAGGAAGAAGCAGTTTGCTGGGAAAAAGCGCCATACACATGGTACATCAGCCGGAACTAAATCCAGCCTTCTACCCAAATGTGTTTGTAGTACTAAACCTACAAGTGGCGGGCGTCCAGTTCTGGACCTAGACAGACTGAATCAGTATGTGCTCCTTGATCGGTTCCACATGGAGACACCATTCAGGGTTCTCCTCTCCATCCACCGTTTCGACTGGCTAGCCCCACTAGACTTAAGCGGGGCCTACCTGCACATACCGATGCACCCAGCGAGTTGCCATCTCCTTTGAATTGCCCAGCTGGGCCAAGTATTCAAATTTCGCGGGTGCCCCCCCCCCTACAGCGCCCTACGTGTTCACCAGAGTGATGAAACAGGTAGTGCTGCTGCTTCACCAAATGTCGGTACACCTCAATCCGTATCCAGACTACTGGTTACTACACAACCCAGACAAGGGGTCAGTAGCCAACACGTCAGGCTAACACAGGATTTACTTCACCAGTTTGGCTCGTTTGTAAATCGACAAGTCCCACCTGGACCCAACGTGCAGTTGGTGTCCCTGGGCATGGAGTTTTGACTCAGAGGTAAGCTTGGTTTAGCTATTGCAAGAGTGTAGTTTAGCGCTAAGCAGCCTAGCCGAACGCCTAGTCAGCGTTCCCTCAGTGTCCCTCTGAGAACTAATGCGGATCATCGGAATGATGACCTTGGTTCGAAGGGTCGTTCCCCAGGCCGCACTACGCAGCCGCCCGGTATAACGCTTGTTATAACGCTTGTTATAACTCCAAGCTCTCCTATGGGAACTAGATAGATGGGTTTTGATCTGGGACCAAGTGAAGGAAGCCCTGCCCTAGTGGCCGTCACTGGCCAACTTCGGACTGGGGGCCCCCTTGGACCTGCTCGCTGCAGGTATGACTGATGCCTCCTCCCAAGGATATGGCCCCCGCATTAGTTACGGGACTACCATATCAACCGGCTCGAACTGAAAGCAGTATACTTATCACTACCACGCTTTCTACCCATAGTTCAAGACCACAGAGTCCTGTTCTGCACAGGCAACGCAGCGGTGGTCTTTTTAGTTTTGCCCTGTGTGCTTCCGAGATCACCTGTATTTCGAACATGTATGGACTGATTAAGTTCAAACTTCACTCATACATCACACATTATATGGGACATATGCACATGCATTTTTTCCATGATCCGGTTAACGATAGCCGAATAGCGGGCATTTTAAGGCCGAAAATGCATCAAAATCGCACATTTTCACCATTCCGGACCCGGATCTCAGTTATGCATGGACGGATTTTGTTCAAATTTGGTACATACATTAAACATAATAGGACCTTGATGCACGTCATTTTCTTTTTGGATCGGGTTCGAAATAGCCGACTGGCCGCCATTTTGTTTTAAAGAATTCAGTTCTGGATCCGTATCTGAGACATGCCTGGATTGATCGAGTTCAAACTTCACACACACAGGGTACATCATGTCACAAATATGTATGTACATTTGTTTCATGATCTCATTAACGATAGCCAAATAGCGGCCGCTTTAAGGCCGAAAATGTATTGAAATCGCACATTTTCACCATTCCAGACCAGGATCTTAGTTATGCATGGACGGATTTTGTTCAAATTTGGTACATACATTAAACATAATAGGACCTTGATGCACGTCATTTTTTTTTCGGATCAAGTTCAAATTGGCCGTCTGGCGGCCATTTTGTTTTAAAGAATTCAGTTCTGGATTTGTATCCGAGACATGTCTGGATTGATCAAGTTCAAACTTCACACACACATGGTACATCATGTTACAAATAGATATGTGCATTTGTTTCATGATCCGCTTAACAATAGCTGAATGATGGCCATTTTAAGGCCGAAAATGCATCAAAATAACGTATTTTCACAATTCCGGAACCGGAACTCAGTCATGCATGGATGGATTTTGTTCAGATTTAGTACAATGTGTTGTACATATGCAGGTGCATTTCGGATCAGACCACTGAAAGTGGTCTGAGATTTCGGTCATAATCTGCTTTGAATGTATATGTCACTCAAATATGAACAGAACGGGAACGTGTCATTGACAATGACTTGTTCAGGAAGGAGGGGGGGGGGGCGTTCCTCATCGTTGTCAGTCCTAGCGGAGCAACACTCCTGCCGATTCCAGGAGCCTGGGCCAGGGTCGCTTTGCTAACCCCGTGGACCCACTTAGTTGTGTACACCTTTCCTGCCTTCCCGCTAGTTCACCGGGCACCGGAGAAAACTTCGACAGGTGCACACCTGCATATTATTATTGGTCGCATCCAATTGGCCAAACAAGGCCTAGTTTCCACTTCTGTCGGAAATGCTAGTCGAAACAGCAATAGTGCTTCTGGACTTACCGGACATGCACTACCAACGAGCCCAGTGGGTATCACTTACATGCATAGAGGCTTTCATTAGACCCGCACATACGAAAGCTTTATCTGAGCGGGCTGCCAACGTCCTGGCCTACATTTCAAGGTTGCGAACATACACTGATTGGTGTAGCGGAAGGGAGATTGATCCATACCATCCCTCTATTGGCCAGGTAGTAGGCGCCTTCATTGTTTACGTATGGGAACAAGACTAGCCGATTGTCCTATTATTAGGAGACTATTTACTGCTTTCCAGACGCCAAGACCCATACAAGGGAACCACTCTGACTTGTTGGCTGTGTTGTCCGCTCTAAGCACACCGCCCTTTGAGCCTCTCTGATCAGTACCACTAGTCTTCCTACTAGCCCTCGCCTCAGGTAGGCGTCGACCAGAGCTTGGGGCATTTTTCCTTCTCGGATGATGTACCGTCGTTATGGACAATCAAGTTGTGTGAAAGACACGAATCGGGTTTCTCGCCTAGAACCAAATCCAAGGACACGATCCTCACCCGATCGTCATCCCCCAGCTGTCAAATTTTTTCTGCACGGAGGGTCAGGAGGAATTGCTTCTCTGCCCGGAGTTGCTACCAACTTGTACTAAGGGTTCAGGACGGGGTGCCAGGCACATGTCTTGGTGTTACGGCCCAGGCAGGCAGGATAGGCCGGCCTCCCAAACTTCCATAACCAGGTGGTTCACTGCGACTGCATTAGGTCTATAATACTTTAACTTCCTCGACACAAAGGTTGCAGAGACACCAAGTACGAGCGCATGAGGTCTGTGCGATTGCC